TACTTTTTGCCTTAAATCATTTGCATTGGGATTCCAATTTAAATCTTCTCTTAAATCTACTCCTAACAAGTAACATTTAAAAATTATAAACTTTAGTCTAATTCTTAATTTTGGCTGTTGAAATTTTTGTTTCTGTAGCTGAGCATCTTAAGATCGCAACGCTTAAAACTCACTTGCATTTTATGACTCGCGTTGGTTGGGCGGGAGGAGGGTAATCGTTGGGTATTATTATTAGTATTATGGYCATCATAAACGGCCTACTGAGCGTACTATTCGCAATACCATTATCAATCTTGAGATCCAGCATTCTTTAGTGGATACTAATCAACCGAATAGACCACGTTCAGCACGCAGGGTACACGAAGACCGTAAGTAGTCGATTCGGCGCCGTTCGCAACAATTCGGACTGCCATATGTAACGACTTGGTKCATTTTACGTAGTGATTTTAAATTGAAAGCGTACAAAATACTGTTTGTGCAAGAAATGAAGCTGCGCGATCTTCCCCAGTTCCAAAAAGATCGAGCTAAATTTTGAGAATGTTCTTTCGAATGATATTCGAATTTCCCATGATTCCCCATTAAATTTAAAGTTTCTGTGTTTTTTTTWTCTTTAAAAAAGTAGGTAAACCCCAATGGGTCACAATTTATGAAAACAGAACATAAAATATGGTCCGACAGCTTTATTCCCTAAATTTTTTTCGATTTTAAAACAGATTGCAATTCTGGTTTTCATCAAAAATCGACACAATCTGTGCAATATATAATATTTATATACATAAATGAAAGTCCAAGCTGTTCATTTGTCCGAAGCACCGATATCGATCCACGATAGCATTTAACTGACATACAAAATGAAAAATCTAAAAAAGCTTGGAAGATGGATCTTCACGAAATTTTACATATATTATTGTCCGCAGAAACGCTAAAATTTCTTAAACAGAGTTTCAATAGAATATAGCTGCCCTGTAAAATTTGTTTAATTGACAATATATTTTCTCCGAATTTTGCATGAATTATTGTCCGCAGTAACCTAAAATCAGGCTCATGGTTCCCTGGTTTATAACTTATATTATATTTCCGATCCTTTGGTTGGCTTTTCCCTCATATACTCAATTTATCAAATGTATCCTCATATCATCTATTTCTCTTTAATCAGAATTTTTTTGTCTTTGATTCTTGCAAATTACGAGAGTATGAAATAGAGGACATTTATTTTGCTAAATTATATAAATTATATTATAACAATATTATTAATAGTATGTAGTAATGAAGTAAATATTGCAAATTTTGGTGCATTATAAAAAAATAAAACCAAATTTAAATTTCATTTCTATTAATCAAAAACTGCGACTRCATGTATACTAGTACGAGTACAAATATTATTTTGTGGTTTTCAAATAATACAATAGTATAAAAGCAGTTGCAATACAAATTTAAACTTAAGAATTCCCATCGTTTCATAATCGGTGATTAGGCACCAGTTACGTTATGAAAATAAGTAATATCTGACGATTTGTAGATAAATAAACATGCAATAATTTCAATGCAAATTATTTAAAATTTATAAATTTGTACCTGTATATGATTTTATAATGATACTACAAATACATAAATTTCTAATCAATTTTCAACTGAAATGTTTTTGAATTTTTTTAAATACTTTGAATGCAACTAATTACGACGCGGGTTAATAAGAGTTATTGCTAGCATCTTAGCAGTTTTTGAAACAAATTTAATTTCGGACATATTTTATTTATTGGTACGGTTTTTTGCAGCATTGTTTTAAGAGAAAACAATGTACATTATTAATCGAAATTGTATTTTAAATTTGGCAGATCGTTTCTTAGTTTAATTTGATTATTTTTATATTGCTTTATATAAATGTATAAACTCAGACGAAGACTACTAGACCGTTAAATTCATTCATACAAAGTGTATAAGGCAACATGGCACGTATTGAACAAAACACTCTTTTAAACATGTATTATATTATATTAAACGTTTTTCTATTTAGGAAATTTTTATTCTTCAAATGATATTATGTTCTATATTCGTTTATGGTGAATTGGTGCCTCTAGATGAATCCGTCAGTGAGCATATTTATTTGATTGCAATTGAAATTAAAAAGGAAAAATTTCAGATAAAGGATGACAGTTTGAATTATCTTAGCATTCCATCAGATTTCAACAAGCAGAATATATCTAATGAACGTAAGAACAGCATTGAAAAAGATGACAACGAATCAGTGGAATACTTACGAAATTATGCCAATATGTTTAATTATATTAATTATATGTATGATCACAACATTTATAGCAACAATACATATAGTGGAAGTCGTAATGCGGTTCAATTCAATTCTCCAAGAAATCGGGAAGTGTATTTAAAGCCTTTGGATATTATTGTTTCTCAACTTCGTAATTACAAACATGAAACAATGATTAAATTGAAAGACGAGAATGTCGAATCAGCATTTATTTCACCTACTATCGTCGTTGAATATAAATCATATATAAATAATAAATCAGATAAACGATTCAAAAGTTATTCAAATGCACCAGAATCAATTTTTCACACACAAGTTAACGTAAACTCTCCGGGGTCTAAATTAAATGTGGCTAACAGTTTTCCTCTTTTAAATGATATAAGCACTGAAGTAAATGACGTCGACGAAATATTGGAGCCTGTAATAGACCAACCAATACCGGAGACTGATACAGGTATATACTCGGTTGAAGTTATATGCACTCCTGATATGACCAAAGTAAACCTCTGTTCGGATTTACGAGAAGACGGTTACCATTATGATCGGCCCAGGGATAATTTCTTCGATTGATCTTTTTGTTTTGACTAACTAGCATTAGTAAAAGAATATTCGGCATACTCTTATATATATATTTATATTATTTTAACCATACAAAAAAGTACATATGTTAATAAACATACTTTTAGGCTGAAAAAGGTACAATTGTTTTGAATTCACCCCTGTTTCCGATTGTTTAAATTCAAACGAGTTTAATATAAGCCACACACACGTACATATAGACCCACATTTTCTAACGCAATCATTATATTCAACCTTCAACAGCATAAGCTTTATATGAAAGCGAAATATTTTCTGTGCTTAACAAAATATTCAGGTCTTTTATTACATTCTGTTTCATGTTGCTACAAAATATAATAGTTTTGTTCACTGAACAGTTGTACGTATCACTTAAAAGTAGGCTAGATGTATAAGCGTATGAATATATAAATAAATGGGAACGCCTGACAAGTTGAAATTCGGGTGACTGTTCGGTTGCACGTCCGTCCGTGCAAGTTGTAAAATTAGTAAAAAGCACTGAAAATGAAATATCTTGATGTAACTTGGTATGTCCGTTCCTTGGTAAATCCACACCCACAAAACGCGATTAACCGAAAACTTAAAAAGTAGCAAAACTAACCACTGTGAGCAAACTTTTTTTTATAAGTTTAATGTACATGTCTCCTAATTTGCCAAGCGCAAATATTATAGGAACTCCTATCGACAGTGTAAAAATAGACGAAACGAACCGCTCACTCTCGATATAACGATACTGTTAACAAGTTCGGTATAACAGAACATTTCATACTATTGCAACTTACAAGTAATAAATGTTGTTAGTTATATGGAGTCTAGGGCTAATTTTTACCCGATTTCATGCATCTAAGAACAAATATGCACAGTTATAAGAAAAACACGCTAACGTATGCGGTATAAAGTCAACAGGTGGCACATCTCAAATGCTCTATTGGTGCAAAGTTTAAGCCATATATTTTAATTCATTATTGATTTGTGTGCTGGAAAGTGAAAGTTTCAAATGGAATTAGAATTGTTTTACATGAAAAGTAGGTGTGGCTGTAATCCAATTTCACCGAAAATCAGCGGAAATCAACATAAAACTGGGAGAATCCTTTCCTGAAAGTAGCATGTCTGTGTGTTAAAAATGGGTTGAAAGGGCCCATATACCTAATATAAAGATTTTCGACTTGGGCGACTTTGCACCATACATAGGAGATGAGAGTTGTTGTAAAAAAATTAAGATAGCGTGCTTCTCTTATAACGGCGCACCTTTGAGCTTAAAATGAATGAAATCGGGTGAAAAMTCGCGCTAGATCCCATATAACTAATAAGCCTTCTGTTCCTGACGGTAATTTCCTGGCTTTAATCCTTGTAAGTATGAAATTTTTACTAAAATTTCTTACACTAATCGACTTGTCTATCTTATCTTATCTATCCGAGCTCACCCATTTTAAACCATTCACCCTTAAAAAATTATTCGGTCGCTATACTAAATATCATTAAAATATATGTAGAACACACATGCAACTGTAAATCAGTTCTTTTCGTTATCTGGATCATTTATTATAACTAAGATCTACTACAGATCTCTCTCGAATCGTTTTACCAGTCACAAACAGCAATTAGTCGAAACCTGTGTAACACGTTTCAAAAGTTTAATAGGTAATGTGTTTTCRTTCATATTTACAAGGTGCGTTCTAAAGTAAACAGGACTAAAAAAAAACAGAACAAATGGGTTTTTTCGGCAAATTAATTTGTTTTATTCAATTTCTCCTTCTSCTTCAATACAGCTTTTTGCACGGCCCAAAAGCATGTCGAACGAGTGTTTTAGCTCGTTGGCCGGTATGTCCGCCAGTATGCCGGTGCAAGCCTTTTGAATGGCCTCTACGTCTGTATAACGCTTTCCTGTCATGGGCAAATGCAATTTTCTGAAAAGGAAGAAGTTGCACCGTGCRTATCAGTTGAACACAGGGAGTGGTTAAAATGTGATCTTTTGTTAAATAATCGTCCTTCAAATGTTGGATTCTGAGTAATTTTTGGTCGTCAGGCAATTTGTGCGAAACAAAAAAGACACACACTTTACGTAACACCAAATGTTCGGTCAAAATGCGATAAATCGATGTTTTGGAGATGTTCAATTAAAGTTTCGATGGAATTTCCGGAGATCACGGATATTGATTGTCCCACATGTTGTCCTCACGACCACTTTGGAAACGTTGRAACCACTCGTGCACCCTGCTACGGGATAAGCCATAAACTGTTTCATTAATTGGAACATTTCGGTAAAAGTTTTACAATTTTAAAACYAAATTTAATGTTGGCTTTTTGTTCGGAGATCATTGTTGCACCGATATCGCAAACATACTGACACTTAAAACGCAATAACTTCACTTCCAATCGATGAAATGTCATGAAATTCTCACCGGCCTATCGATAGTGAAGCAGATTCTAACGCACCAGTCGACATATAGGTGACACCACCAGGGGGCCCTAGATTCAAAAAGTGTTCCTGTTTACTTTGAAAGATACCTTGTATATCCAAGGAAATTTATTCACAAGTTTCTGAGGCCGACGGAAGAATCGGAGTTTGTGGTTAATTTAAATCAACAAACCATCTTTTACTTAAATTGTAATCTACTGTTCAAAGAACTTTCAACAGAGATATTGCAATCAAACTCGTCCAACTTTTCATACTTTATGTTAAAACATGGTCATGAATCATTCAGTAGAATTCTTATTCCGACTAACTTATTTAAAAGCAAGCACGCGTTCTATCCTCATAAATATTTATATGTATTGCGCGTGCACAAGTCATCTTCAACCATGCTTTTTTTTAAATATTATTTCAATCTTGATAATTCATTGCTGCCTTCGAATGCTAGTTCTTAGTACTTAAATGGACCATTTCCCTTAGTTTAGTTTAGTAAGAGTCTAAGAACCTGTTTGTCTTAATTTATAACTCTTTCATAAATATAAAATCTAAAGTTGGCACTCATCGATTGTATGAACGTGCGATTGGTGCTTCGTAAAAAGACACACAAAAAGAAAGGAAGGGCTAAGTTCAGGTGCAACCGAACATTTTATTTTCTGGCTACTTGCAAGAATCAAAGCCAAAGAAATGCCTTAAGATATCAAACATCAACCAAAAGATCGGAATATAAGCAATTTTATGTACATATTTTATGTACATATACATATACTAGACCGACATATTCGGCCTAAGATTTATTAAAAAAAAAAAAACAGAAATCATAACACGTATGTAGTGTATGGAAGTTGGGGTAGTATCGACCCGATTTTTTCTATTACCTATTATAATGACACATACTAAAACAGTGTTCCATTAAGGTTTCATTAAGGTACATCCCATACGATCACCGAAATAAATTCAGCCGGATGTTCGGAAACCCTGATAAYAGTTATATTTGAGCTGTGTCAAGTTTTCGCCTAATTTTACCTATTTCAGGCACAATAATAAATTGTTATGAGTAAAACAGGCTCTTCCCTTTTTCATTTATATAACTCACAGATTGGCTGATATATCCTGGAAAAGTCACCCGGAAGCTCGAAAATCTTTATACTAGTTATATGCGGGCTCAGGATTCAAGATTTTTGATACACAGAGTAACTATTGTCAAACATTGATCGATATTTTCGGTCAAAAGTCAACTATTGATACTGGGGTCCACATATTCTGTAGCTGGAGATTAAACAGTTTTGTTTGGATTTGAGCAAGTTTTGGTCATAAGGTGGCATACTTTAAAGAAATAATTAGTTCTTGACTTGTGTACTGGAAAGTTAAAGAATCAAATGTAATTCAAAATTGTGTAATATGCGGTGTAGGCTTGGCTGTAGTCCGATTTCGCTCATTTCCGCACTGCAACGTAGGAATATAAGGAAAATGCTACATATTAAATCGACAAAACCGGTTTGTCGAGTCCTGAGATATGCGATTTCACCAAAAAGTGTGCGGTACCGCACCCACATTCCAATTATCAAAAGTCAACCATTTTCAGACTATCGATAGGAGTTCTTATAATATTTTTAGTTGCTTAGGAGATATATACATTTAGCTTTTTAAAAGGCTTGTTAAAGTTTGCGATCTCCTGTGCCAAGCAATTTAATATCTTAAGGTAGGGCTTTAAAAGTTCGGTCTTCGGTTAATGGCGTTTTGTTGGCGTAGCAGTGATCCGATTACGCTCATCTACGAAGTAGAAATTTTTTTTTTACTAAGGGACGCGCATACCAAGGTGCATCAAGATATTTGAATTTTTGCTTAAGACGGACGGACAGACAGACATTCACCCGGATATAATCCTACATCTATCTTGATTATATTTGGGTGATACATACACCCGTTAGGTGAACAAAACTAGAATACTCTATAGCAACATGTTGCAGTAGTATAAAAATGTACTTCTGTATTTATGTGTATATGTATACATATGTATATAAAGAAGAGGTGATAGTCTAACAGTTGCAAAAAAGTAAAGCAAATTAGAATTTCATTAACATAAATTTTAACAAAACAAAAGACAACTCCAATTTTAGAGGGGAAAGAGTGGTAATAAGTAAAAATAAATACATATTATGCAGACATAGAGACGCGTTTCTGGGATTATGCAAACGATAAAAACTAATGAACTCCTCAATTTTGAAGAATTTGAGTGTTAAAAATATATGTAGACAAATACGAAAAATAATATGAGAGTATTCTATTATATTATTGTATATGTCTATCGGTTAGTGGCTTTTATAGCCGATGGCCAACCAAGTGGCAAACGATCACCTTAATTAGCTATTTCGATAGTAACTATAGTGCTTTATTTATTGAGAATTCGTGTGGATTTGTTAATATTTATGATCAGCGCTGTTTTTAAAAGACATTCACTAATTTGCATAAACGTTTTTAGCACATACGAATGTATGCACATGTGAGTATATGCCCGCTTTGAGGTCTAACAAGTTTTCAAAGAAAAGAAGAAATATTTCTCCATGTTTTCAACTAAATTGTTTAAAATATTTACGTAACCCCGCGATCGCTTTTGAAAGTGAGAAACTTTATTAAAAAATTAAAACTAAACAAAATTGTACCGGCGCAAACTAACAAAACCAGGTATACATACATATGTGTAATCTTAATAATGACAATAGTGCTTATTCCTACCTAACTTTAAAAAGGAACCACATTAAATATGTTAAACTAACATAGGCAACTTTTTCCCCTGTTAACTTTTAAACATTTCACCCAAGGTTAAAGAAATACAAAAATCAAAAACCTAATATGACTCTCTTTAAACCTCCTTTGATCAAGCCAATTATAAGCGGCATATATAATATAAACGTGAATTTTTCAAGAAATTAAAATATCAGAAGACCAATATCGATGGTCTTACAGCATTAAATTTGTGGATAAATCCAAGAACTTGGAATAATTTTCTAATAATAATATTTACTATGTTATTTCTAATATCTATATTGATATATATTTTGGATAGCATATACCCACGTGTCCCCTTTTGCGTCCAAAAAATTTTGTTTGCGAGTTTTATAAAAATACTTCCTTGATGTTTGTTAAGAGGTACCTATAAAAGGTGGTGACACATATCCTGATGAAGTTGAATACAACATTATTTGATGAGTTTAAACACAATTTATGCACTATTTTACGTTTTTATAAAGTTTTAATAACCTCTATTTCAGACATAAAAGACCTAGAAACCTCTCTCAAAAGACCATCATATACATACATATACTTTCGAGCATTTGGCATTGTGAATTTGCTTTAAATAGGAATACCAGTAACTTGACAACGATTTTGCGTAGTGCTAATATTTGCTTAACTTTTATGTATGTTGTTCTTTTGTAGTCACATTATTTACATAAATAAACGAGAATGACAATATTAGGACTTGATATACTATATAAGTATGTATGATAGTTTGTATTGTAAAAGGTTTTGTTGGTAGGTGTCACTTGTGCGTAAAATGCTGAGTGTGTTTGTAAAGATAAAGAAAATAGAAAAAAACGCCAAGAGATAAATAATTTGGCGAAAAAGAATGTAAAGAGAAAAGATAGAATTGCTTATGGCCTGTGCCAATTTACATTACATGGACCAAACTCATGTAACACAATCGCTTTATATATAAATAACTTAAAATCTTATTTGTTCTTCATTAGAGTTGGGGCTTCCCTACTGCTCAGTTGCTAACTTTCTAAGAAGATGGTAAGATTGTTGTTCTTTTGATTTTGGGTTCTTCGTAAAGCTGTTTGAACTACAAAAATTATTTGTTTCGAAACTTTTTCTACTGTCTAGAGACTTTTAATCGTTGTTTTCGCATTCATCGCAACTGTGACTGCTGATATCAGTCCTTCGCCTTCAAATGAGTATTTGCCACCCATTCAAGACGTTGCAAAAGTTGAAGCTTCTGTCTCCAATTCGATCCCAGATGTTGCTTTACCTGCTTCTGCTTACGTAACACTTCCAGTTGAAGCTACCCCAGCTCATGTTTTGGCCGATGACGGTTACCGTTATAAGACACACCGTCGTGTGGTATATCGTCGCAACCGTCGCGATGTGAGCCATTTGCCTTCCAACGAATACTTGCCACCAGTTCAGGGAGCACCAGTTGCTGCACCATCAAACGAATACTTGCCACCTGTACAACA